TCATACTAATATCTCTGATCCCAGTACAACACTACAGGGTTTATTTAAGCCTTCCCACTTTACTTATTTATAACTTCTCGCTTGAACAATGAAAAGTTCAGTCCTCATTATCTATATTTATTTGAATTCTATTATACATATCAAGTGCTTTCAGAATGGCTAGCCGAACCTTTGTGAGAAACACATTTATTACTAGATTACAACATGTATGTACAGTTCTTTGTCTTTAGTTTTCTAGCATTCAGTCCATGCAATGTCTTCCAAAACTACCTAGGTTAGTTCCTTTCTTTCCCAGCCCTTTGAGGGTGTTTGTATTATGTATTTATAAAATAGGTTTACCTATTAGTGTTTATATTCTCTTTTGGCTTCCCACATCTTGATTGCTTTTGTTTAGTTTTTAGAGTATGTAAAATATTCCTATAATTCGGAGAGTTAGAACTATATAAAGATATATGCTAAGAGAAGGTTCTCCTCAAACTTGCCATCCCAATCCTATTTCCTCCTTCTTTCCACTCTTCCCACCACTCCCATAGATAACTGGTCTCTTTAGTTTCTAGTTTACCCTTTCTGTTTTCTTTCATTAAGAAAAAAAAAATCAGATATAAATATATTTTCTTATACCAAGAGTAGCATACTATAGTCATTGTGCTCTGTCCCAACTTAACAGATGTCCATATCTGTTCATTAGAGATCTTCTTCATTTCTTTTTTCAAGCTGCCAACTCATCCATTTGTGGATGTACCATAGAAGACTCAAGTACTCTTCTACCTACAGGCAATCAGATTGTTTTGAATATTTCACAATTACCAACAATACCACAAATAACCTTTTATATAAATATTTTTATATTGCATGAGCTGTATCTTCAGATACAACAAGATGATGGATAGCCAGCTCAGTAAGTTAACTGCATACATATATCATAATTACAGCCTATATTAAAAAATTATGTTTTGAACTTTAATAATTTTTAGGAGTAAAAAGGGGCTTCTACAACCAAAAAATCTGAGACTAGTTAATATATATCACAATTTTAACATAAAAGTACAAACAATACAATGGAATGTCAACGTCCTAGCTTGAGAAAGGGCACTTATAACTACTGCCATGATAAACAATGGCAATGTTTACAGTCTGTGGGATTCCTAGGTTCTCTCCATTTTCAGGTATCATTTTCATTTCATATGTAAGGAATTTGTTTAATCTTTTTAGAACATGTTTAATGTGTTGAGCCAAGAACAATGAGTAAAGCAACAACTTATTTCCAAACTCACATTCTGCCAAAAAGAAATACTTTTAGTTCCGTCTGAATATTCAAAAAAGGAAAACTGGAAAGAAATGAAGTTATCTTTTCAAACACTTTTTTTTTTTAATTTTTTTCAATGTTTTATTTTATTTCTGAGAGAGAGAGACAGTGTGAGCAGGGGAGGGTCAGAGAGAGAGGGAGACACAGAATCTGAAGCAGGCTCCAGGCTCTGAGCTAGCTGCCAGCACAGAGTCCGACGTGGGGCTCGAACCCATGAACCGTGGGATCATGACCTGAGCCGAAGTCGGACGCCCAACCAACTGAGCCACCCAGGTGCCCCTCTTTTCAAACACTTTCAAGGTAAAACAGGGAATTTTGAATTAAAAAAAAAAAAAAAACAGTACAGCAAGGACATCAAATGTGCAAATGCTACTACACTCAACTATCATGAATAACCTCACAGGTGATGGTCAACAAAAGTCACAGAAGAATAAATATGAGGACTCATTTATATAAAATATAAATATGTAAAACTAACCTACACTTTTTATTTAATATATACACAGGTTGCAAAGAAAAGCAAAGAACAATAAAAGCTAAAATAATAATTTCCTCTAGAGAAAGGGAGGAAAAAATGACCAGCAAGGAATACACATATGATTTCTGGGATGCCAGTAATCTTCTGATTTCTTGAGACGAACACTTTACATGTATTATTTACACTGCATGTATATGTGTGTTTTATGTATTTATCTTTCAGAATAAAGGTAAATTTAAAAAGTACTATCACTGCTTTGTGGCAAGCAGTAACTTCTACTGGGAAGAATGAAGACACCAATGAACTACCATAACTGGCAGTTACTGAATAACAGAAAGTGAAAATTAACCTTCTTGTCTTAAACCAGGCTTTAATCTTCACAAACAAAAGAAAACATACTATGTGTTTATTAACATCATCAGTAGAATTCAACTTTGGAAAGCAAGATGGCACCTGATAAAGATTAAATATTCATTATTCATCAAATTTGAAAACATTAAGTATAAAATATTTTAACATGATAAAGAATATACTATAATCCTAGCATTATTATGCCTATAACAGAAATACTAAAATAATTCCTTCCCTTTACATTTCTTATTTCACAAAAACATCAATAGATGAACCCAAATATATATGCAGACATTTAAAACACACAAAAGAATTTAGTTATTAAGAACTATTTTTTTTTTTTTAAATATTTTTATTTATTTCTAGGAGAGAGAGACAGCGTGAAGAGGGGAGGGTCAGAGAGAGAGGGAGACACAGACTCGGAAATAGGCTCCAGGCTCTGAGCTGGCAGTCAGCAAAGAGCCCGATGCGGGGCTCGAATCCATGAACCGCGAGATCATGACCTAAGCGAAAGTCGGACGCTTAACCGACTAAGCCACCCAGGCGCCCCATTAAGAACTATTTTTAATACAAGTCCCAAATCAATTGCTTTTCTACTATTACAGTCCCATGAATTCTGATTAGCCATTTCTCCAAGATCACTAGCTTTTTTTAGTGGAGATTCATATTTAGAGATTACAATCTGGGTGCTGGGGATATTGACTACCACTGGTTGTCATTTGCAACAACATGGTTAAGAAGTGAATGGCAGAGTTAGATAGTAAAGGAGCTGAGATTACATGCAAAATATCCTAATTGTAACCCTATGCTCTTTTCACTATATTTGAATAAACTACATCCATGTGTATCTTGCATATAGTCATGAGCTATCATTTATCATTACTTTCATATCTATCACTTACTGAGACACCTTGGAAAAGTCATTCATCCACTCAAACTAGTTTTCTATGTAATATATAAAAGAAACAATCTGATATACTTATTTCTCATATCATACAAAGAGGAAACAGGAGATTACATGTGAAGGCTCTTTTGATAATAACATAAAACTGACAAAAGATTAAAAAGACATCTTTCAGTTTACACAGACAGACCAGTAGCAGAAAACATTAAAGGGGCAGAGGACAGAAGACAAATGAAAAAAGTAAGGAGGTAACATAAATAAAGGGCCTGTCTCATAAACTAAATATTTTCGGTAATTAAAAATAATGTGACACTAGTTCAACAAAGAAGGTTGGATGAAATCTTAGAAATGGCCTAATTGCTCAATAATTTCATAAAATATAAAGATGCTAAGTCCAACTTGTGAGCAATGAAATAATTCTGTATCAATGATCAGTGAAATTGTTAAGCAATGAAGAAAAATAAGACCCTCACCACACAAAATACTCTAAAATAATTTAAATTAAGAAGTAAAGGTAAAAAATCAAAGTCCAGAGTAACTCAAAAATATTTATAGGTAAATATTTATATGTTCTCAAAACAGGGATAAATGAACCAAAAAAATTCTTGGGGAAAAGGTCAACATGGAAGAGAGATAACATTTGATTTACTTTAACAAATGAAAATTTAAGACATGAATAAATACTTAGCTTCACCGGTAATCAGAGATATATAAATTTTTAAAAAGCTAAATATTTTCCATCCATCAGATTGGCACTTTAAAAAAAGGGAGAAAGAAGAGAAAATTGATAGTATCAACTGTTGTTGGGAAGTGTGAGGGAAAACTGGTACACTTCTATCAAAAGGTGCTGCATTTGAGAAGATGTGCATTATTTCTATAAGTGTATTATAAAATTTATGTAAAAGAGGAATGAAAAAAGAAATTAAAAGGTCAGATTTTTATGTCTGGAATGGATCTGTTGTGAAGTCTAAAAATGTCTTCAATAGTAGTAATTCTTCCAAATCTCTCCAGTAAAGATTTTATGATAATGCAATTGTAACATAAATACTCTCTCATACCAAACTAAAAGTTGCAACAAAAGAAAAACAAAGTGGCAGCGGCTTAGTAGTCTTAGCAGATATTCTTCTCTAAAATTTAAACTTCATTCTGACAGGCTACAGATCCAGAAAGTCTCAGGTAAAATCATGGCTGAGCCACTTATGGAGTTGTGTGCATTCAGGTAAATAATTCAATTTCTCGGAGTTGTTTCCTTACCTGTAAAATGTGCACAAAACCACCTGCCCCACAAGATCAATGTAAACTTAGAAATAATGAATGACCAAAGGCCTGGGTTCAAGTACTGGGCACATAACAGGAACTTACCATATCGTCACTAGTACTGTTAAGGAGTCTAGTCATACCTAATTTTTGAAAAATTAGGTTTACACAGCAATTATTACTCCACTGAAGTGAAAAAGCATAGTTTATACATGTTGTATGACTGAAATATGCTCTCTAAATTGAATTTTTAAAAAGGAGGGAAAGAAGGAGGGAAAGAAAGAGGGAAAGGAAAAGGCAGAGGGAATAAAGATAAAAGAATAAAAAAACAGAATGAAGTTAAACAGACGTTAACCAAGATAAGCAATACACTTTAATGAAGGAAAATGGCAAACAGTAATACTGACCACCCTGAAGCTTAAGAGAACCCACTCATTAAACTGACATTGAACTTACCAATTAAATGCGATCAACTTGAAGATGAATTTTCTCCTATGCTGGGGTGTCCTCACAAAGCTGTGGAATAAAACTTGCCTTTTCTACTTAAAGCCATTCCTTTATTGCTAAACAGTTGGTCTCAGAGGAAGGCAGCAAGCAGGGTTAGAAAGAGAAAAAAGAGGAGGATAAAGATGAAGAGAAAAACAACATGCAATCATGGATCAATCTCTTCACCCGATCCTTTCAGACTCGCCTCGGGTTCTAACCTGTAGCTGTTGGGAGCTATCATTGAGATTGTCCTCCCTTCGTCGCGCCTCCTCAAGCATCTGCGCACTCTTCTTCTTTTCCACCTGTTCCTTGTGCTTCAGATTTGCTACCTTCTTATTCTGGTCTTTCACTTGCCTATTGATAAGGGGGGAAGAGAAACCAAGCTTTTCATATATATGTGTAAAAAAGAATTACCTACCAATATATACCACTGATGCCAAAGAACAGCTAAAAACCAACAAAGAATTTTTGCTGCAAAATTTCTCTAACAATTCAAAATTTTTCCTACTGAAACATTGTTCAAGCATGTACTTTATGAAGACAAAATTATAAAACAAAAGAAAGACATGGGATAGTCTGAAATAGAAGAAACCAATTCAGAGATTTATGTTGGAAACAGGGAAAGTCTACTGACATCACTGTTATGAAATACTTTCTTTTTTATTTGCATACCTATTACTAGTTTTTGATTTGTGATTAACATTAGGTTTCTATATAACATCTTATGCATATACCAGCCTATAGTTAAGTTGATGGTCACTTAAACTTGAACCCATTCTTTACTGATAGAGAATTTAAAATAATGGTCAAGAAGATATGCACTGGACTTGAGACAAGAGTGCAAGACCTCAGTGAGACCCTTAACAGAAGAGGTCGAAAACATAAAAAACCAGTCAGAGATAAACTCTGTAAATGAAATTAAAAATACACTGTGTAAAATAAATACACTAGACGAAGCAACAGACTGAATCAGTGTGAAGGACAGAGTAATGGAAAGCAATCAAGCTGAACAGGAGAAAGGGAAAAAAAAATAAATGCCAACAGACATAGGGAACTCATTGACACCACCAAGTGTAATAACACTGGTAATATAGGAATCTCAGAAGGAAGTGAGAGAGAAAAGAGGGTAGAAAATTTATTTGAAAAAATAATAGTTGAAAGCTTCCCTATATGGGGATGGAAACAGAAATCCACATCCAGGATTTGGATTCAAATCTGTAGGCACAGACAGCCCACAACAAAATCAACCCAAGGAGGTCCACACAAAGATACACCGTAATTAAACCGTGAGTAGTGATCGAGAATTTTAAAAGCAGCAAGAGAAAAGAAAACAGTCATATTCAAGGGGACCCATTAGGCTATCAGCCGATTTTTCAACAGAAACTTTGCAGGCTAGAAGGGAGTCGCATGGTTTATTCAAAGTACTAAAAGAAAAAACCCTGCAGCCAAGTATACTCTATCCAGAAAGGATGGCTCCCCCAAGCTGATTAATGCAACAAACAGCTGCTGGGTGTCAGTTGTGCATTTTCCCATGTGCTATCTCACCTCACTTCACCAGACATCTGTTAAGTGGGCACTGTATTATTTCTATTTTAAAAATGAGGGGATCCTGAGGGGCTCAGTCAGGTGTCTGACTCTTGATTTCAGCTCCGGACATGACTTCACAGTTCATGAGATTAAGCCCCACATCAGGCTCTGCACTAACAGCACAGAGCATGCTCAAGATTCACACTCTCCCCCTCTCTCTCTCTGCCCCTCCCCCAATCATGTGTGTGCACACTCTCTCCCTCAAAATAAATAAAAACATTTAACAAATAATAAAAATTAAAAATTCATTCAAAACCAAACAGTAAATTAGTGACACAGATGGTAAAATAAAAGGTCATTCTCTGATGGAGGTGCACACTACTAATAAGCTATGCTAAGGTCACATTTCAGATCTGTACTTTCTGCCATCTTGAATATCCACAGGAAAAATTAGCCACAGAGAATTAAAACAGTTACCAGTAAAAGGAATAAAAATGTAAATCATGTTTATATTTGATTCTCCTCACTACATAATTTTCTATACTAATATTTTATTTTATTAATCTAATATCAATTATATCCTAATGGGAAAAAACAGATTGGGACCTTTGCATTAGAAAAGACCAAAAAATGGAGCAAGATTTTCTTTTCATGAATCAAATTGCTCTTTCTCAAAATTAAACTCCTCATAACATTAGTTTACTGATACAAATATTTGCTGTTTTCAGAGAGAAAAAATTTTTCATGGTATATAAATTCTTTTCCCCTTGCATCTGTGGATTATTCCAGACGGTGCTAGCAACCACTAATACCTATAGCAGTAACCTGGTTATTTGGAGCATTATGACACATGGAGTCAGGAACCTAATTAAAATCACCTGTGTATTTTTTGGTTCGAGGGCCAACTTTACAGGCTCAACTGCTGATCCAATCAAAATCCACTGCACTCTTGAGCACTCTTTATCATTATTATTATCTGAGAATGAGTGATTTTATCCTGACTTTCCCCCCAAGCCACAGAACGAGGTCACAGTGCTTTGAGTGGTGTCTCAGAAAACAGAATAAAAAAATTCCATTGCCCCTATCCTATCCCAACAACCATTCCAAACCAACCTGTAGTATGCATTTAAAAATCAAACTTGTGGGGCGCCTGGGTGGCTCAGTCAGTTAAGCATCTGACTTTAGCTCAAGTCATGATCTCATAGTTCATGAGTTCAAGCCCTGCATCAGGCTCTGAGCTGTCAGCACAGAGCCTGAAGCCTGCTTTGGATTCTTTGTCTCCCTCTAGCTCTGCCCTCCCCCATCCTCCCTGTCTCTCTCAAAAAAAAAAAAAAAAAAAAAAGAGAAAAGAAAAGAAAAGAAAAGAAAAGAAAGAATGTTTGTGGTGCCTGGGTGACTCCATCAGTTAAGTGTCCAACTTCGGTTCTTCAGTTCAGGTCATGGTCTCACTGTTTGTGGGTTCAAGCCTCACATCGGGTTCTGTGCTGACAGCTCAAAGCCTGGAGCCTGTTTTGGATCCTGTCTCCCCTCCCCCCCACCTCTCTCATTTCAAAATAAATAAACTTAGAAAAATTTAAAAATGTTTATTTTAATCTTCAAAACATTGGTCATATGATTTTAATGATTATCTCCATCAACTCCAAAAAGACATGATAAAATACTAAGTAACAAATATAGAATACCAAGCTGAATACAAGCATGACTCTAAACATATATGTGTGAATAACACATAATTGAAAAAATTCTTAAAAAAGAAAAAACTTAGGATGTTTCTAATGTTTCTTTTAATTTTTTTCTGTAGTTTCTAAATTTTCTAAAATCAACAAAATATTTTTAAAAAACACTTCAAAATTATGGTTTTAAAAAATGAGATGTGGTTTTACCTCAAAATAGGATCTACATTTATATCAGACTAACAGAAAGTAGTTCCAGAATGGCATGTTTAAGTTTCCCTTATTTTTTTTTGTCTTTAATTTTCCACTTCCAACTCCATTTACTCTTCATATTTTCAATTTCTTTTCTTTAACTTAGTTTTCTGGCTATTAGCTTTACATTATCACTCTACAGACTAAAGGATAATTAAATATGAAAATAAAATGATTTTATTTACTCAGTCAGGCAACAAGAAAAGTATAGAAAAATTCTAAGAGGATTAAATCAATCTCTCTCCCATTGTCTCTCCTACCCCACCTCCTTGTATAATGTTTATATGCACACACAACACAAATGCACGGAAAGTTCTGAATTCACAAATTGACTAGAGTGGATGAATACACCCAACTTTCTTGCCTCATATCCTTCACAACACTATATCTTGGGGAAAGAACACAAACAACAGTATCATCAAAACATATGTTGTAAGTAAAATGAAAGATGTTACTTGAATGTATGTTTAGGAATAAATGTTCTAGAGACATAATAGAATCTGTGAAACATGAAATTACTTTCTCTCCACTTATAAATAGATCAATATGTAATTTGATTTAAATGTGAGTTGACAAGAAAACCCAAATATGTTAGTAAATCCATACCTTAAACAGAAAGAAAAGGATTTAAATGGCTTAGTATAGAAGTTTTTTTTTTAACTTAGACTGCTATTAAGCCTGAATTAATTAACTGGGGTTAAATTCAAAGTGAACTTACATCTTTTATTATTCTTAAAGCAGGAAAAGGAGAAAGGAGAGAGATTCATAAATGAAATAATCCTTTAAAATCTGATTCTCAATTGAAGAGTTCCCGGCTAGTATAATAAATAATAAAATGATGAATAACAGATTTAACTCTCCCCACTCCCACACAGATATGAATAGATTAATCTGTAAGAAAAGAGAAATGCAAAAATGAAAAAGAACACAGTTTGATCTTTACTGGTCTCTGTCACAAGAAGTTTTATAAGATGTGGTCCACCATCTTGTTATTCAAAGTATGATACATGAACACACATCATCAGCATCACTTGGGAGCTTGTTAAAAATATAGAATTCTCAGGTTCACACCAGATCTACTAAATCTGCCCCTGTTCACTTTGTTACTATTCCCTCAGCCTCTGTCTCTTAAAATCTAGACTCAAACTTAGGTAAACTCGTTAGGTCATAACTACTATTGCCCCCCCCCCCCAGCTCCTATACTCATTTTAACTAAATATATCTCATGACATGTTAATTTGTTCCTCATATTAGTGTAATCCACATGTGTATCTCATTATACCTATGAAAATGCCTTCCTAGGGGTGCTGGCTCAGTCAGTGGAGAATGTGACTCTTGATCTTGTGGTTATAAACTCCAGACCCACACTGGGTACAGAGATTACTTAAAAATAAAACACCTAAGGAAGAATGGAGGGAGGGAGGGAGGGAGGGAGGGAGGGAAGGAGGGAAGGAAGGAAGGAAGGAAGGAAGGAAGGAAGGAAGGAAGGAAGGAAGGAAGGAAGGAAGGAAGGAAGGAGAGAAAATGCCTTCCTAGAGTTCATGGTCCATGTTTGATATATTTTCATAATTGATAACTCATAACATAGTTCCTCCTTCTGTATAGATGTTCATTAAATATTTGTTGAACAAACACATAAAAAGGAAACTGCATCCCCTCTATTGCCCAATCTACCCAAAATATGACTCTGAGGGAAAATACAGTTTAACATTACAAAACAAGGTAAGCACTGAAAAATGAACACCTTCTTTATCTTTAAACACCTAAGAAAGTTTATTGGGAAAGGAGTAGTTCTTGTTCTCCTTCAAAACTTGCATTCTATTAAGAAAGCAGCAATACTTTTTTCAGAAACTACACTTCTAGTGGCTTTTTGCTTTGCCAAAAAGACAGATATATAATGCTAGTGTAATAGGTCACCCTACCATAAAATCTCCTATGCACATTTAAGAAAAAAAAACTAGAATGCTACTATTGTCAGGTTTAAGGAAATACTAAACATCAAACCTGATTCAGCCATTTGTGCGGTCATTGGAGAAAAGCAGTTTAAGCTAGGGGGGGAAAAAAGCTTAGATTTCTCCACAAAGATCTTCAGAGAAATAAATCTAGAGGAGGAGGAGGTGAAAGAAGAAATGGTCAAATCTCAGAGAATGCTGACCTTCAGGGATGTGGCCATAGAATCCTCTCAGGAGGAGTGGGGATTCCTCAACCATAGTCAGTGGGAACTGTATAGGGATGTGATGTTAGACAACTATGGACACCTCCTCTTTTTGGGTCTTGTGTCAAAGCCAGACCTGGTCATCTTTTTGGAACAAAAAAAGGACATCTAGGATGTGAAGAGAAAGGGGACAGTAGCCTCATACCCAGGTATGGGAATGAAGCAGATGACATAGGTGAAGTCCAGCTGTGACAGAGGAAGACAGACCTTAAAATGTAGTTTGAGGAGCTCTTCTTGAGCGGAAATGAGTTTGAAAAGGCCAGTTTTATGCCCTCCCTCTCACAGAGGACATCTGCTTTCCAACACATCACGTTCATACATTCTCTAAGGATTCTCCTTCAGTTCCACTGAAGGTCCTTCACATCCACAGTGAGAGCCTCCATAATCTGATTGGTCCTCCACTGCTTTGAGGGTTTGGAGAATCTGTATTTCTGAGGAAGTCTATGTTAATTGATTTCTGAGTTCTGTTTTGCTTCATGTGTGAATTGATTCAGGGTAGTGGTGGGCATCTTGGGGTTTGGTCCAAAAATCCCAGGAACACTGGAGGTAGACATCACAAGCGTTCTGATTTAACATTTCCAGTATTATGGAGGCTTTAATCTTAATCATACAAAATAGAGATACAGTAATTACATCAGATAACAAAGCAACTCCCTAAAATGAGAAAATCTAGTCCTTTATTTCACATCAAAAGTTCATTTCTTGAGTTGCCTGGTTGGCTCAGCTGGTTAAGCATGTGAGTTGAGCTCAAGTCATGATCTCACAGTTGTTAAGTTTGAGCCCCACATCAGGCTCTCTGCTGTCAGTGCAGAGCCCACTTGGGATCCTTTGCCCTTCTCCCATATGCTCTTTCTCAAAAACTTAAAATATATAAAATATATAAATACATATATATAAATATATAAAATATATAAATATATATCATTAAGAGTCTAACTTTTGATTTTGGCTCAGGTTGTGATCTCAGGGTTTTTGAGTTCAAGCCCCACATAGGGCTCTGGGCTGACAGCACAGAGCCCATTTGGTTTCTGTCTCCCTGTTTCTCTCTCTCTGCCCTTCCCCTAAACACGCTTTATCCCTCCCTCAAAATAAATAAACTTAAAAAAAAATTTTAAGCTCATTTTCTCTGTTTTAACTAAAATAAGAAATTTCTATTCAATGTATGCCACCTCTCAATGGTGAAATATAATTTAAAGCACCTATTATTTTGCTAGAATTCTACATTAATTAACGCCATAGGGGAGCTAGGATTTTTACAAGATAAAACTCACAGTGTATCATAAAGTCTCAATTGTTACCTTATTTCTTAATTTAATAATTTTATGATTTTGTCTTATATAATATGAAGTTCCTATGACTGTCATATATTTTCACTTTGAGTAGTTATATGTGAGATTCCTTTATTAGATCAAAAGTCCTGATATGACATGGCCATGTGCTTTATAAGAAGTGAGGTAGATAATTAGTAAATTTCTTATATTTAGAAAAAGTTTTAAGCACCTGGGTGGCTCAGTCAGTTAAGCGTCCGACTTCAGCTCAGGTCATGGTCTCACGTTTTGTGGGTTCGAGCCCTGCGTCAGGCTCTGTGCTGGCAGCTAGCTCAGAGCCTGGAGCCTGCTTCAGATTCTGTGTCTCCCTCTCTCTCTGACCCTCCCCTGCTTACACTGTCTCTCTCTCTCTCAGAAATACATAAAACATTAAAAAAAAAGTTAAAAAAAAAAAAGAAAATGAGTTTTAATTATAAATGTAACTTGACTTCAGGAAAAATGAATTACTAGTTTTTCTACTTTCCTCAGAATGTATCTGAATTTAATCCCGAAGACTTTTTTTAATAAAGTAATTGTTGGCCTATTTTACCAAAAAAAGCTTAAAAATACATGAATTAGAAGCAAAATGATATTGCTCAAGTATTACATATTAAACATCTTTATTATGCATAAATGTTATATAGAGAATATACAGATGCTGCATGTGTGTGCACACACTCCTCTCCTTCAACCTTCCCAGGAAAAGCCTCCACTGACATTTAATTTGAAAACTAAAATGTAAAAATTCATAACACTATCTACAGACCTACACTTGGCTTAAAAATAATAATTTCATATTATCCCAAAAAGCATATAAAAAACTAAAAATAATATTTTTTAAAAATTCTATGTCTAATTACAATGTTTTGGAATTATTTAAGAGCTGCTTTAAATAAGTATTTTTATTTTTATGGCACTGTACCCCTGGCAATCTAATGATAATAAGCTATAATAAAAAAAGAAAAGATTTCATTATAGAATATAAAATCACTAACAATGTGGAGTTTTATATAAACACTCTTAAGTTCTACCAAAACATGCTTTACTTAGCAATTCAACAATTTTTGTTTTTGTCTTTTTAAAATCTGGAACACTTCTAGAATCTGCCTGGCATCCTCACGCACGGGCCATGCTAATCTTCTCTGTATTGTTATAAGTGTAGTAGATGTGCTGCCAAGGTGAGCACCAATCAACCAGTGCTCTTCCAGCACTTCAAGGGAAGAGCACATTCAGTCCCATCTTACATTTAATTTCACTTATTTCCATGTTTATTCTCGCTGCCACACTGATCTCCTTGTGGAAAAGCATCTTGTATTATAAATCTCCACAGATCTGAGGCAAGGCCTATCTTATAGCAGTTACTCAAACTTAACTGAACTCAAGGGTTTTGACAGAAAGCTCTTTTTTTTTAATGTTGGTTCTCATAATAACTAATCTATTGCCATTAATTCAATGAATATTTTATGAAAGCTATGTGCTAGGTATTATCTTGGAAATACAGCAGTGAAAAAAAAAAAAAGACAAAAATCTCAGCCCTCACTGAGTTTACAATCTATAGGAAGATAAAAAAAATAAGTAAAATACACTGTATGTCAAATGGTGATAAATCCAATGGAAAAAATAAAAGAGGAAAAGAGGAACGTGGGAATGAGCAGTGACACTGCAATTTTAAATGAAGTGCCCAGGAAAAGCCACACTGTCAAGGTAATATTTAAGTAAAGAAATAAAGGAAATGAGGAAGTAAGCCACAGCTATGCATATATTGAAGAGAGAGTGCTCCTCACAGAGAAAACAGCAAATCATAGATATAGAAGAGTGTGCCTGGCCGCTGTGATCAAAGTAGACAAAGAAACACAACATACTGGTAGATGAGGTCACACAAGTAATGAAGGGCCAAACCCTCCAGTAAAGGCAAGCAAACTTTTTTATTTTTTAATCTTTTCATTTCCATTTATTTCAGAACAAAAAGTCACAAGTTGTGGTCTTCACTGTCCATCTTCCCCCACAACCATAAACTGGTGTTTAATTTTTGTTCTACAAAAGAATAATTCATTTTCTTCTTTTCCATTTTTTATTTAAATTCTAGTTAGTAAGAGAGTGCAATATTGATTTCAGGAGTAGAATCCGGTGATTCATTACTCAGCAAACTTTTTTTGGTAAAGGGCCAGATAGTAAGTATTTTACACTTTGTAATCCATATACAATCTGTGTCACACATTCTTCTCTGTTTTTTTAACCATTTTAAATACGTGAAACCCATTCTCAGCTTGCAAGCTGTATTAAGGGTAGAGGAGGGGCTGTAGTTTGCTAATGCTTGCTGCAGAGGTCCGTAGGTCACTGAAAAGCCTTTGCTTTAGGAAACAATTCCTTGGTATTATAAAGTACAAAAGAGTAGCTCATAAAAACTAATAAAAATAACCTAATAAAAATTTAAGTTTCTATCACATGAGAAAGCTACATATTTGTCTATAATTTAAAACTAGCATGCATTCTAAATCCAATTGTGAAATTTTCCAGAAAAGAGTTAGCCTTCACTTGTCTATTTAGCAAATATTTACTGAATGCCAACAAGGGCTACATATTTTTTTTCTTCCTTCAAATTTTTATTTAAGTTCCAGTTTGTTAACATATAGTTTAATACTGGTTTCAGGAATAGAACTGAGTGATTCATCACTTACATATAACACCCAGTGCTTATCACAAGTGTCCTCCTTAATACCTATCTACCATTTAGCCCATCCTCCCCACCTACCTCGCCACCATCAACCCTGTTTGTCTTCTATAGTTAAGAGTCTCTCATGGTTTTGTTCCCTTTTTTTTCCCCCTTCCCCTATGTTCATCTGTTTTGTTTCCTAAATTCCACATGAGTGAAATCATATGGTATTTGTCTTTCTCTAACAGTCTTATTTTGCTTAGCATAATACACTATAGCTCCATCCACGTTGTTGTGAATAAGGGCTGCATGGATTTAAGGAAGAGAACAGAATACAATCTCACTGCCCTCATGGATCTTATTGTAGAAAGAGGCAAAACAATTTCAACTAAAAAAGAAGCATCACATAGCAGAGTGGCATGTCCTATGGGAAAAATCAAATGGAGCAATGTAATAGACATGCTCAATGTGATAATAGTTTATTTAGCCTCAACGGTCAGGGTACACATCACTGAGGAATTGCCATGGAGGATGTGAAAAGCAAGCCATATAAAGGCCTAGGGAAAGAGGGAGAAAGAACATAAGTACAAATGCTGTGAGGATAGCAAAAGTTTGGCAGATTTCTTTAAAAATTGGTATGGTGGTGTATAACAATGGGTAAGCAGTAAGTGGTGAGGTCACAAAGGTAGCAAGAAGTCAGATGATGCAGTGCCTTATAAACCAGGGTAAGGAGTTTGAGTTTTATCCTGAGTAAAAAGGAGAGCAGAGCAAGGTCTTAAGGAGTGACAGCATTTATTTTAAACTTTTAATAGTTCAGTCTAGGGGCGCCTGGGTGGCTCTGTCGATTAGGCATCTGGCTTCAGCTCGGGTCACGATCTCACGGTTCATGGGTTCAAGCCCCGCATCAGGCTCTGTGCTGACAGCCAGCTCAGAGCCTGGAGCCTGTTTCAGATTCTGTGTGTGTGTGTCTCTCTCTCTAACTCTCCCCTGCTCACGCTGTCTCTCTCTCTCTCTCTCAGAAATAAAATAAAATAAAAAACATTAAAAAATAAAAAAAAAAAGAGTTCAGTCTAGCTACCACGGAGAAGAAACTAGTAGAGGAGCAAAATGTAGAAGCAAGGGTAGCAGTTAGAAAGCTACTCTGGTAGTTCGAGTAAGAGATAATACTTTAGGAAAGGCATTGAGAGAAACGGTTGAATTTCAGATATATTTGTGATATATGATAGGACTTCCTGATAGATTTAACGTAGGGAGTGGGAGGAGAGAAAAATCAGGAGTTAGTTGGTGATTTATTTATGAGCGATGGGTGAATGGTGATACCATTTACTGAACTGGGGAATACTGAGGAAGAAATTTTGAAAAGGATAGAAAAAATGAAGAGATGTGTTCTGGGTAAAGTTAAGTTTGATATCTAATTCAAGACATCATGGAGATAATTAGTATATCACTCTGGTGATCCTTCGTGTGTGTGTAGACAGATGTATGGAGATGATAGATATGTCCCACATACATGATAGATGGGAGCTATGAATACATGAGTAATATGGAAAGCCATGAGGCTTGAAGACATCTTCTGAGAAAAGTATATGTAAAAAAGACAATGGACTGAGAATGGAGCCTTTCAAGCTTTAAGGGAATATGGTGGAGCCAGAAATGACAACGGAGAAGGAATGACAACTGAAGGACACAGAAAATGAGTAAAATCTGCTGTCAGAAATGCCAAAAGAAAATACCTTTCAAGGACGTAAGTGTGTATAATGATGCTGAAAGGAAAAGCAAGATAGTGACAGAGAGTGGCTTTTGAACCTGGCACCTGAAAATATACCACCATAAACCCTTGCAAAAGCAGTTTCAGAGAAGTGATAAAAATAGACCAAAAATAGATAAAAGAGAAGTCTGACTATGCAAATTTGAAGAAAGGTGAAGAAATGCAGCCAGCGTTTATATACAGTCAATTTTTTAACAAGATTTATTAAGGAGGAACAGAGAAAAATGGTGTGCTGGCTAGAAAGCACTATCATGTCAAAAGGAGAACTTTCAAAGGTGGAAATGTTAAATCAGGCTTATGATAATGAACTCGGAAAGAGTAAAGTTTTAAAAATAAAGCAGAGAGAAGGATAACTAAGGAAGCTCCATCCTTGAACTGAGGAACTAGGATAGGATTAAGAGGAAAAGTGGCCAAGTTGAACTTAGAACAGTGAACCACTGTAAAGAAAACACACAAAACACCGGTACAGATGCATGTAAACCAGGAGATCTAAGGGTGGGAAGATGCAGTGGGTAGCATCTGATTCTGATTTTCTCAATGCAGTATGAAGTGAAGTCAACAGCTATGAAGTGGAGGCAGGGATTTTGTGGATTTGACAAGAGACGAGAGAGCAGGATATAATCATCTCTGAAAATGTAAAATCAAATTTAATAAGCATTTATATTAGAATTGCCTGCATAATTGGGAGCACATTTGAAATATGTGGCCATAAACCTGCAGTGAGACCTGTTGAGACAGCTGTGTGACTGTTTTCCCAAGTCACATGCAGTATCTCAGTTCAGAAGCAATAGAGGACAGCACGTGGTAGTCAGAGCTGCACTGTATTTTGCAGCATACTAAGTCAAGGTGTAGAATTCCAAAAGGAAAAAATCAACTCCACATATTATAAAATCCTTGGAAAGAGGGAAGTTTTATGTGGGCCAGAACAGGTACACAATCCCCCAAAAATCTAAGAAAAGACACTGCTTCGGAATGGCATCAAAACAGAGGAGAAAAGAAAAGCAGAGAACTCATTCTCACACTTCTTCATATAATTTGTGGAACTGTTTTGCTACAACAGTTAATGTCTGTTTCCCAAACTGTATAAAGATAAGAATGCACGACTGTTGGTATATTTAAAATCAATTTATAAAGTCTAAAAAAGCATACAAAGGATATGACACAGTTCTATGATTGCAGTGTGCCAAGAAATCTGAATATATGCTAGAGAAACAGAGAAGCAAAGAAAATTCCTGCCTTAAGAAACTGACTTGACTTTTTGGATCTGTGACAGAATAAATATACTGTCAATTGTTTTTATTCTTTAAAGAAAGCTGCTCTGTGTTGCTCACTTTGAATTTCTCCTTGATTTATTGATAATGACAGAGGAAAGCATAAGCATTTTTATGGAGAGCATCCATTTATTTTCTGCATTATCTTAATTTCTATCATTGTCTAAAATAGGACATACAACCTTACACTTTTGAGCAAACTTTTGGTACTAAGGGAAATATACAAAGACTCATGTCTCACTTCTATTTTTTTCTCCTTTTTTAATTTTATTCTTCCCCAACAGTCCTACTTTAATTTTCTTCTCCCTTTCATATATTTTCTGTTTTTATGCCTCAGGCCTCACAGAAGCATCCAGAGAGTCAACCATTCTTGGTGTAAGTCAGACCTAGGAGAATGCTGGCCCCATGACCTAGGAAAAGTAACATTCTAGCATGAACAGAACAATGAAACAGAATATACAGCTTTTTATTTCCTACTATCTTGTTTCCCTCTT